TTAATACTATTATAAAAAAGAAGATAAAATTTAAAATAATTAGTTATTATAAATTACCAGTATAAGTAACGCATCTTTCATAGCAACGAAGTCGGAGGATATTCGTTTTTTATAATATGAAATGCTCAAACGAAATCGTTTTAATAATTTAATTATTTGTAAATATTTATAATTCATCTATTCATATGAATATTCATATGGATGTTTTACTTTTGCAAGCATCTATATTGAATGTACTTTAATTATTATAAGTAATTTCTGACTACATAATTTTTCTCTACATAAATTACTATTTAATACATCAATGCAGTTATAATTTAAAAATTAATATCACGAAAATGCAAATTTAGTTTCACGAAATGCAATGTAAGCATATTCCATGGAATGATACGCTTATTAGATTAAATTTTTTTACGATAACGTATAGTACATGTTTAAATACTGTAGACGTCCGTAAACTAGATTTTGGTGGATATTTCAACCATATGATTTGATAAAATGCAATAAACCTATTCTATGTCTCCTTTTTGGTTAAATATCAGATTCATTCTAAATATATTTTGTCCCTAAATATATTTCAATAAGTAAGAAATTCTACTATAAGTACTGGTTTTACATTACATAATACATTTCCAACATAAAACTAATCGATGAATTCGTAAAACCCGAATAGAGCTCTTTCTGACATACACATAAATGCATAATAAAAAACAGAATAATTTTAAATACTAATCTTGTGTTTCGTAACCTGGAAATGCAATTAAACATTTTGCTTGTATCATTTTACTTGATATAGTCACAGACGAGCTTTACATTATTAAAAGTTGACAAAACTGTAATGGATCTCAAAAATCATATTGCTGGTGCATTCACTAATTCCCCAATTCATCGTTGTTTAAACGTAGAGCGCGCTAAAAAAACCAATGATTCTTTGCTACGTCGGTATTTCAGGTCACAGGCCACAAAAGGCCGGAAGATGCTTGGTCTATTCAGTCGGTACCACAGGCAACATCGATGAGGTATATCATATACCTCATATATACAGAGATGCATATCTTATCGGTGTCATATACCTCGTCTGTGTTTAGAATTGTAAATTTTATATCTTTTATGGTAATAAATTTGATCTTGTTTCCCTTAAATATACTATGTATTTTTATTTAGATCTCCTGATTCTACTCGTTAATCACAGTTTCATATGGATATTGGAAATTACCGTAATACAGGATGTCCCTTGTACAGGATGTCCCATAACTCGTGGTCAACCGACTAGGGGATGAATACAAAAATGTATCAAAAAGAAAAAATAAATTTGTTCATTAAAACCTTCGTTTTAAAGAAAATCGAGTTTGAAAATTTATCTATACATTTCAGTTTGACTAATTCTATACTGGATAGGTGCGAATAATCGTGGAACACCTTGCGTACATACTACGCAATGCATTCACAGCAGCGCAGAATCGCAGTTGAGCAGCAACTGCGTGACGGAAGAGTGATAGAGGGTGGAAAATGTTGCGCTCTGTTATGTTTTCGCGTAAGTCTACCACAAATAATTTCAAACCATTTTTAATTATTGTGATTAAATAAACTAACATGAAATGCATAGTACAGGAATTTTTATCTATTTGAAGAAAATTCTCTTATAAACGTATAAATGTGTTTTATATATTTATATTTAATGTATATCCTATTCTCTCTAATAGTTTGTATTGCATAAGATGCAGCAATTTCAACTAAATTATTTGTTTGCATTGATATATAGATTGCGTTCCTAAATTCCATTGCAACATATTTCTTAACCTCACGCATTAAAGAAAACCTTTAATAATGCTGAAAAGTAATATCTTTTGTTTATAACTAGGTTTTATAAAACTTGTGCTTTGTAAAACAAATATCAACAAAGCATAAATTAAATTTAGAAAATTAATATAAATAAATGATACCTTTGTTTCAGCCTCTGTTACTCAGGGCTTGGCATCTCTGATACGTAATAACATTGCTTTATCAGGATGTCCTGGATCTTTAGTCTCCCAGGCCAAACACATGGCCACAGATACAGTATCAAAGCAAAGTGAAATCTCTTTGCCAGGAAAAGTAGAAAAGCAACCCTATAGTCCTTTTCAAGATAGCAGCAATTTGGCTGAATATGCAGTAGCACGATTAGACGATCTCATAAATTGGGGTCGTAAAGGATCATTATGGCCATTGACGTTTGGTTTAGCATGTTGTGCTGTTGAAATGATGCACATTGCTGCCCCAAGATATGATATGGACAGATATGGAGTTGTCTTTCGAGCATCTCCAAGGCAAGCTGATGTTATTATTGTTGCTGGTACTTTAACAAATAAAATGGCTCCTGCGTTGAGAAGAATATACGATGAAATGCCTCAACCCCGATGGGTCATTTCAATGGGAAGCTGTGCCAATGGTGGTGGTTATTATCATTATAGCTATTCTGTTGTTAGAGGATGCGATAGGATTTTGCCTGTGGACATATATGTGCCAGGTAATATTTGATATAACATTAATAGAAAACTTAAGTACAGAACCATTACATTATATGTTTAAACATGTTTCAGGATGTCCCCCAACGGCAGAAGCTTTAATGTTTGGTGTCCTTCAGTTACAGAAAAAAGTAAAACGTATGAAAACTCTACAAATATGGTACAGAAAATAATGTAAATAAACGTAATAATTGTAGCAATTTATGTATGATATACATTTATTTAGGTATGATATACATATATTATAGCATGAAGCTATTCTTTTAAATAGTTTATTAAAGATTGATAAATCATTGTTTTATAATGGTTAATTTATTAGACAGCCATGTTTTTCCTAAGATCTGTTTATTTGTATGGACTTTCATCGCCATGTACAACCACCAAAAATACATATAAATACTACAAATAAAAAACTCAAAAGTGACAGTATTAAATCAAATAATATAATTTCCAATATTGATTACATAATTACACGAAAACGATACTTTTTTACAGGCATAGTTTCGTTATATTTTTTTCCTCTGTTTCAATCTTTATTATCTTCACTATTTAAAATATTTACAATATCTTAATTTAAAAACAAAGCAAAGAGTTAGGCTGAACATCTTTGCCACTTAGCTTACCACATATTAAGGCCCCTTTATTTTTTTTTCTTCTTCACATATTGCTCTACCTAATACTATTTACGATTGTGTTTATTTTCATTATACATTATATACATACATTGTTGAATAAAAACACATCAACTGATACGCATCACGCATACAATAGGTATTCCTTTTCTTTCTTAAAAACATTGCCAACCTATTGTACTTATCAACAAAATTTTCATATACAAGGGTACATGTTTATGAACATACTATTATTTCTGTTGTGTCCACAGCCCGAATTTTAAACGCCTACTTTGGTCATTAAAGAGCATAGTACGTTGGAATATCTCATTTTTGTTTTCTCAATTCTTATTTTTATCAATTCTTTCTATCTTTCCTGAAATGCTTCCATTTTATTTGAATTAACTTTTATGGATGTATAGATACATCTCTGAAACACTGACACGCGTATCGTATTTCTAATTCACATTTGCCTATTTTTTTATCATAATAATTTCATCAGTCTCAGTTTAAAATCTAATTCAAAATATACTTGCCAACGTGCTATATAAACCTAAAAAGTTGTATGAATTATAAATTTAAAAAAGATATATGAATAAAGTTAATATATGACGTAAAACAATAATATTGTGTTACTTTTTTACGCTTAAGATGTCACATTTAGATAAATTACTTTAGAGAGCAACTAAGATATGAAGAAAAATTAATTTAGCTAAAATTTCCCTCTGTTTCCCTATTGTGTCCATTTGTATGCCAAATGAAATTTTCCAAGTTTTTAATTAAATTGCAACATATCTTTTAATGTGCTCCTTAATTTAAGCACCAACAATAAATATTTCCTAACGTTTTGTCATATCAAAATCTATTATTTTTGTAGCATAAATTAAACATTTTGTTGGTTTTAAAATAGTCTTTGTTAAATAGTGTGATAATTACATAGAGAAATGCATTTAACTATTTTGTATTCGAGGCTATAGCATTACTTTTCTTTGCTTTTCTGTGCAGATTTACACTTATAAGAGAAAAAAGTTTCGAGCTAATTTACAATGTACAAAATAATAAAATATATCGATATTTTATACATATTTTCATCTTTTTTATGTATCTCTGTGACATAGAAAATGACTACAATAAATTGTTTGTACAAACCTATATATATATATATATAAATTATATATGTATGTATATATATATATATATAGGCTATATATGTATATATATAATCTTTATGAAAATGAAATTCTTTGTGATTTTTAATTGCCTGAAAATTATAAATAATAAACGATAAGTTTGGATATCATTTAATACCCAGAATTAAATTTGCTCTTTCAATTTAATTCGTAATTAATTTGTTTCTTCGCAAGCCAACTGACTTCATTCTCTCATTTAAAAGAATTTTGTGCTTCTATCATCATCTCCCGTTTTATCATTTAGTCTATAATCTGATAACAAAATTGTACAAACCTAACATACTGCTCCGCCAACTATTTTATACACTTCGAACATACAAGCTATCGAATGTTTGGATATTATTAAAGAATTGCTTGTGACGTCGAAGGTGGTGGATTACTCGGCAAAGCAGGCACAGGTCCATCAGTCCATTGTATAAGAGTATGTTCACCCATCTGTGTACTTTGAAAATGATCTTTCAAGAGCGTTTGTGAGAACGTACAATGCATTTGATATGCTTCACTTTCACGATTTGGATCCCCACAAAGTCTATACAAATCTGCCAAATAAAGATCATTCGTTTGAAATATGAATCCTCTCTTGCTCAAATTTATATATACCTTTAAGTATAGCAGTAGCCCATAATTGTACATGAACATCAGGTATCTTAGAAGCTAACTGCATTGCAGGTGTGACCATGTTCATAGATTCTCTACTGTTGCCCAAAGAAAGAAATATGTGTCCAAGAAGTACAAGACTACACGACGTAAGTCTGTTTAAATCTTCGGAATTTGCCATTTTCAGTGTTTCTCGGAGGTATCTCCTATTCATACGTTTCAAACATATTCATACGTTTAATTACATCTGATATTCTTTAAAAGATATTAAATTTAATAATAATGATTAATCTGTACTTTGCTTCGTTGTATCTCGCTCCAAAAAACGCTTGAAGACCCTGAACATAATATGCCGCTGCTCTTAAAGAATGTGAATGAGATGGTAAAGATTCAGGATTTATTCGTTCCAATAAAGCACCTAAATCTGCATCCCTTTTTGTCCTAAGGTATACTATTGCCAAGTTTAAATTTGCGAAAGTCCACAATTCCCTTTCTTGCGATGTCTATAAAATCATTTTTTTTTTTTTATTTATCACAATACTGTTAAAGTCACATTTAATAGTATTTAGTGTCCATCATCCTACTCTCAAAGCAGCTGTGAACTGTGCTTCCGCAGCATCCATACAATTCATTGACATTGCATATAATCCCAATAAAGCATGTAATTGTGGTTTATGACCTTGAAGTAACCTTGGCTGCCTCCTACAAAGCTGGCAGGCTTGAGAAATTTCTGCAAGAGCTACACTTTTATTTCCCATTACTAATCGACACATTACTATATGCTCCAATAGCATTAGTTGAAAAACAGAGAGTATAGGCTTGTTGTCAACAACTGTAAAATATAATATAAACATTAATTTTATCACGAAATTATGTTAAAATTACCAAAATGATAAACTGTTATGTTTACTTTTGAGTTTTTCAATTTGAGTTAATGCTTTGTCTGTGTACTTCTGAGCTTTGTCCATATAGCCAGCTTGCATTGAATGCATAACTGTTACTAAATAAACCAACACATATAAATGATCCTTTGGCATCCATATAAACATATCTCCGATATTAGAACCTGTGACTACTTCGTCTGCTGGCCAGTTAGGAGACATTATAGTCTGTATACTTTGTTGCAATTGTTTCAAACAAGGTTTCACACTTTTAACCTATTAACGAAAGTATAAATATGAATATAACAATTAACATGAATTCGTCGAATAAAAAATATTATTCGTTGCTGCTTACTTGTCCCGCCATTAAATAATGACAGACTTGAAGTACCAGAAAATATACTTTTAAATATTCTTTCTGATGTGGACTACCCTGCCAATTTTCAACATGATGCCCGGCTGTATTTAAAAGAGGATGAACTTCAGTAAATTTTTTATCTATCAATAAAAGCATACATCGGCTCAGTAAGAATAGAACTCTTGTATAACTTGCATTGCTGATATGGGAATAATCAACACCTACTGCAAGTAAACTACTAGCTGCAACAAAATCTTTTTCGGACGCATGTATTTGCTGAAACACAAGGATTATTATATTAAAAAGTTAAGATTAATTAAAGTGAGTAGTAACTTACTGCAAGCTGGAAAATAAGTCTACAATGCCAATATACATTGTGTTGTGAAAGTTCTATGGCTTTCCGTAATATAGGTTTACTAAGATTTGATTGCTGTTGTTGTTCGTACAATTCTGCAACCACGCTTGCTGCTTCAAATTTAACATCATCAAAAGTATTTATATTCTGACTCAATCGCCACTAAAATGCAATATCATATAATATATATAATCAATCAATCAATAAGTACAGCACATGATATAACGCATCAATCAGTTTTCATTTTCAACAATCTTATGTATGTTACATTACCGACTGTACCAAAATAAAAAGAAAGGTTAGAATCAGAATAAACAGATGTATTGAAATTTCGACGACGTGCGCGAAAAACATAAAGGTCGAAGCCGTAAAGAAAGGTTGAACGTAATTAATTCGAAATGCAAATATTAGCTGAACTAACCGCTTGTTCCAAATGAGATCGCGCCAAATCGATGTTTTTCGTATGCGTAAGTAGGATGTTACCAAGTTGAAGGTGAGTGCGTGCCTCGACCCTTGGAGGCGGCTTAAAATTGAAAACCGCTTGCAAACACTGTATGCACGACTTAATGTTCGGTGGACTCGAAGTCCGAAAGTTTTCTGCTAGTCCTAACAACGATAGATACCAAGCGTCCTGTGAAGACGCCATTTTGACATTTCACGGGCGAAATCTCCAGCCGTGATAAGACACGGTCATTGGTTTCGCACTCAAAAATTCAATAATAACACTTGCAACGAAACCTGGATCGTCGTCTGTAAGATCACGATCACGACACGATTTGCAAATACGCGGTGTCCCGTCAGATACGTTTCCCCTGGAAACCGCTTATTGCGTAATGTTTACATACATATGTAACAAGACGTTTTCTCTACATTATTGTCTCACATTGTTTGTACATACTACCAAGAATATTTGTTTCCAGGCGCGAGTAATTTGTATCTCGATAACACACGTCTAAATGTACATCGACATTATGCATTTTAACAACTTCTATATACAACGCTGACGAATTACATATCATTATCTCCGTTAGATTTAGAACGTAATTAAATTAGGGAATTTAAATTCTAGGGAATTATCGGTTTTCTAACCTCAAGGTGACGGCTTCCAACTACTAACTAGGTTGCCTGCATTTGAGTCACATAAAAACCAGACTGATCGACCCCTAGAATTAATATGTAATTTGGTGTCTGTAAAATCGAGTGTTAATTGTTGTAATTTTGGCAAGAAATTTCACAAACGTAGTCGATCGAATCGAATTTTAGAAAAAGATAAAACTTGAATATAATATATTTTATCTTTTAAATTTAATGATAGATATTTTATATTCGTGCTTAGCGTAAATATGCATATAAATCTATCTGCAATCTATACAGAACAATAGATAATAGATTATACAAGATAATTTTAAAATATATTTTTTGTTAAGGAAATATAAATGTAGGGGAATATAAATATATAGTGTAATGTAAATTATCATATGACGATTCTGTTTAATTTTGTTTTCAAATTAATATTTTACAGAATTATTATTTTAAATATAGACAGCAATATAGTTACAAATAAATAAAATTCCGAAGTTTTTTAAATTCATATATATTTTCCAGATTCTAGGGAATAAGAATGTAATAGGAATGGTACGCATTAATCATGTGACTTGCAACACAACGCGGTTTTCCTTCATTCAATTGAAATATATTTTCTTATTCACATATTATTGATTTACGTTTCATATACAATCCCAAATACATAATTTACTTGAATATTTGATTATATTATAAAAACAATGTATACTTTACAATTAATCCTTAAAGCTTTTTTTATCTTGAATAAGTCTCGAACTAATACTATTTTTAATTAATTTTAAATTTATAAGTTTCTGTATATCAATATTAATATTTTTGCAAGATAGTAAAAGGTTTAGTAATAGAAGCAAATAAAATTTTTTACAAGTTACTTAATCATTTAAAATCATTTAAAATCAAAATCAAGACCGATATACATGCAAATAACACGTAACTGAAACATCACAAACAATTACAAAATATGATAGAAAATATCCAGTTATTATTCAAAGCATCTTTTATCATGGAAATGAATGTTAATTCTTTGCAATTGGGGATTATTTTCACATTTCCTTCCGCCAATTCGATAATCATAAATCTAATTTATCACGAGAAATTTAGAACTTTTTAGAACTTTTTAGTCCTAAAAAGAATAAAACAATAAAATAAAGAGTTAACAAAATAAATTAATAAAATCACCGATTTAATTTGGCTTGCAGGCAGGAAATTTGAACGCCAGTTCAAGCGCCGATTAATCGCGAACTATGACTCAAACTCGGATCTATCTCGTGTCGCATTCGTGTTGCAACGTAGGATATCCCCTCCAAGAGGCAAATACGCTCAAGAGAAGTCAAACTGTCGGTGCGCTTCTCTGCCATCTGACCACCAGTTGCGATTTCAAATTATCCAGAACGAGGTGTGAGCTTTTTTTTTTTTTTCGTTACGTGTGTTCCCATGACTACGTAATGTGTTCTCGCGGTGCATTGCTGCTTCTTTGTTGCCTGTTGCTGACACTGGCCGGCCACCGTTGCGAAGAAAATTTTAGAGCCGTCACGGAGGAGAACGCACTAGCAAAATTGGTCAAAATGTTCTCCAAACCTGGAGCGTTCAAACGAGTGAGCTCTCAAAATCATAACTTCAATAGTGTTTTTGTTGTTACTTAAGTAAAATAATTTATGCGAAATAATGCAATCACTGCGGATAATTAAAACTACGGATTTTTACATACTAAGAAACTTATTATGCTGATCACGAATATTAATAAATTATGAATTTAATTTTACTTAATTATATATACTTTATATATACTGAGAAATTTAACGTATATAGATGATGTAAAATTTAATACAAAAATTAGAAAAACATCCAAAGTGAAGTGTAGTATTTGTTATAAAACTTAACGAAATAAATATATTTATATTATATTTGCTATTTAATAAAGTAAATCTTTTCTCATTTCCTCGGATAAAAATCCGCAGTCCATGACTTCTTCGTTGATTCTCCTAAAGTGAATATCTTACGAAATGCGTGTAATTTTTTCGAAGAATTGAACGAAAACTTTCGTTGCAATAGATGCAGTTTGTCAATTTTCTTCCTTCGACATTGCAAAAAT